GGTTGTGAGGATGCTTAAAACACTTTTAAGAAACATGTACCTCACAGCTGTGTGTGCGTCTGGAGGGCAGCCCTGGTGTGTGCTTCTCTGGGCCGTGCATAATTTGCTCAACTCTCTTCTTTCCTGTGCAGCCGACTCCTTGGCTGGGCGTGGACATGGACCCCAGAGGGCCTCCAGCCCTGGCTGTGCTGTGTGTTGGCAACCATGGGCAGTGCTCTCTCGGAGCTACATGGGAGGCGTAGGTACTGGAAAGACCACCAGCACTTTTCACCAGCCTGAGCACCGTAACTCGCACAGTTACGTAGGAAGTGCCAGGTGGACATTCCCAAAGCTGCCTTGAAAGAAGGAGGTGTGCTTGCCATTGCCCCAGCTCCTGCCCCCAAGTTCCCACGCCTTGGCATTTCTGGGTCTGCAGAGGTCCCTGATGTTGAGCTAAGCTGGTCCAAGGTACCTTTGCCTTGCTCCTGGACTTACCCAGAACAGCGCATGAAAAGCAGCATCACTGAGAATCAGAAACCCAGTGTACAGCAGCATCTCAGCAAAATCACCCGATGCTCAGGAGAGCAGGTCATGGTGGTAGAAGCTGTGGCCACTGTCTTAGATAGAAGCTGCAGCCACTGTCTTAGTTGCTACTTTTCTGAAAATGGCACGTCAACATTTCAGTGTTCTCAGTCTCGTGAAGTTTCCCTTATGCAAAAAACACACAAACAAAAATAAAGTAAAAACCCTGAAATGCTGTTCATCTCTAAGTGATGGGGTTGGAACAGATGAGTGCACGTAACCTTGACCTCTCAGAGCAGCTGAGGCAGGGGTTGTTTGGGGCCGACGCGCAGCTCCGGCTAGCTGGGGCTTGAGACAGGTCTCCCAGGTGGTTCATTTCCTTCATGACCGAATAAAAGGTTCTGTGCTATAGCAACTCTGGAGCCTGCAGCCTGATCCACGTGCAGGTTCAGTAGATTCCCTAGGCCATGGAGTAGTACAGAACAGACATACCATCTTGCACTAAAGGGCACTGCTGATGAGTGCCCACATTCCTCGTCCTCCTTCAAAGCAGTGCATGGCACATGCTGAAGTGAATGTTCATGTTTACTTGCAAAACAGATAGTATTTACTTACCTAGAGTAAAACAATTTAACTACCTAAATATTCAGTAGCATATTTTGCTTCTTAATTATGCAAACATTCAGGCAAATACATTTTTATTTGTTTACCCAAGCATATAGCATGGCAGCAAGAAATGACTCCAACATTGTAAATATGTCAATAACTCAAGTGCTTCACAGGAAAGAATGCAGGACTCCTGAAGCCTGATGGCACTAGTCAATGCACGAGTTCACATGGATGTTGCTGACCTTGATAAGAAAATGAGCAGACTTCCTGGAATTAATTGACATAGAAAGTTCAGAAGAAAAACAATTTGTCTCTCAAAATACTGTAAAAATTAAAAGAATCCCAGTACACAATGAATTCTTGAATTATGTTCTTCTTTCACTTATGTATTTGATATTCTAATGAGACCATGTAATGAGTTTTGTTTTTTTTTTTTAGGTTAATTTGCCTGGTGTCTTTTACTTAAGATTTGGGTGATGTACTTTTTTATCTTCATCTCCTGTGACAATATGAAAACTTCCGGTGTGTTTTTAGGAAACAACTCATGGGTCCTCATTTTGTGTCTTGGGTGGCGGTGCTGAGCTGGGTGTGCTTTGCTCTGATGGTGACCCTCCCTCCCTTCTCAGGCTCTTGCAGCCTGGTTTGGAGGGCAGTCTGAGCTCTAAGAGAAATGTGTCACTTCACACCTTGCCCTGGAGCTCCATCAGCTCTGACGTGGGTCTCACAGGCCTGGCGTGCAAACAAGCTGTGGGTCGGCTTGGCTGACAGAGGGACAGAGGGAGCCATGGGTGCTGCTGGCAAGGCCTCTCACGGGATCTCCTGGGCTTGGTGTGGTGGGACAAGTGTCGCTGCTGTGAGCGGGATGTCGAGACTGGGATTAGTGTTGGGGTGATACTCCCCTGTGTGTTCCTTAATATTTGGTAAAGCCACCTATGGAAGAGGAAGGACATTGACTCAAACCCTATTTTCTTCTCTTTTCTGGAGTAAATATAAGCATCTCGATGGCTGAAATCCAATTTTGTGAAATGGAAGGAAACCATATGCTTCCTGTGCTATGTGGGAATGTGAAGAGAGTGAGGTAGAGAGCTGGCCAATTAACTGATGGAGCATTTTATGTAATTGGAAAACTAATGAGTCTTCTTGGTGCAATATTACATGTAGTAATTAAGAATTCAAAAAAAGTATGGAAATTAACCAGTCTTTACTTTTGGTTTAAATATAGTCTTACTGAAGAATGAAAAGTCCTCCCTAGACTACACTTTCTGATCAGAAGGGTCTCCATGTAAGTGCCACCATGGATCCTCTTTACTTGACAGATATGGTGCACAGCTTCCTAGAAGACACCATAGAGCCATGCCAAGTGAGCCCTCAGTGTCCCTGTCAGCCCTACCTCACCCACTACCGAGACCCCCATGCACCTGCATCCTTACCTCACTCGCTACAGTTGACACCACAAATTTACATCCTTACCTCACCCTCTACGGTTGACCCCCTATGGTTGGAGCCTCACCTTACATCCTACAGTTGACCCCCCATATGGTTGGATCTGTACTTCACCCCCTACGGTTGACCCCTATGTTTGGATCTGTGCCCCACCCTCTACGATTGACCCCCTATGTTTGAATCTGTACCTCACCCCCTACAATTGACCCCCCTGTGGTTGAAGTATCACCTTACACCCTACAGTTGACCCTCTACGGTTGGATCTTTACTTCACACCCTACAGTTGACCCCTCATATGGTTAGATCTTTACCTCACCCACTATGGTTGACCCCCTAGGGTTGGATCTCTACACCCTATGGTTGACCCCCCATGTGGTTGGATCTTTACCTCACCCACTATGGTTGACCCCCTAGGGTTGGATATCTACACCCTACGGTTGACCCCCCATATGGTTGGATCTTTACCTCACACCCTACAGTTGACCCCCAGAGAGTTGAACCTTACCTCACACCCTACAGTTGACCCCTACATGTGGCTTCACCTCCCATGGTTTCAGGGACTCATAGTCACTGGACTTTGTAATACCAAGTGGAAAACCCAAGGAATAAGCAACTCATTGGTTTAAAATTGCTTGCCTTCTGGAATTAATTGGCATAATTATAATAATATAATAATATAATTATAGTAATGTTGTGGTACCCTGCACTGTCCCGCCCAGGACATGACATCCCTTTCTCCAGCGTAGCCACCGTCAGTCACTTAGAGCCACCTGGGCTCTAAGATTGTTGGGCAGCACAGAACCTAGGTTCCAGTAACCCTTTCCCTACAATGGCCCAGAGCACAGAGTGTGATGTTGTCAATTCAGTGTGCCCAAGAGAAGTCACAGTTCTCCAAGTGAACTGAACAGGGAAGGGAAGCACCCTGAAGTCGCCGAGACCCTCGTGGGAACGAGAACTGCATGCCTGGGGTCTGGAGCATGTTCCCCACAGCTGAGGGTGGCTTCCTGTGTACAGAGTGGGCTCACAGTGACTGAAGACCTGAATGGAACCCCGGGACAGTGAGGCCTGCAGGAACAGAACGGGGAAGCTTTACAACACTGGGTGTGGCAGTGCTTTCTCCATGTGACACCAGGCAGCAGAAGCAAACAGTGTTCTTCTAGAAATATATAAGCTTAAGTTAAAATTTCAAGAACATTGCAATTGCTGGCTGTGGTGGCACATACCTGTAAGCTCAGTGGCTATGGAGGCTGAGACAAGAGGATCACAAGATCAAAGCCAGCCTCAGTAACTTGGTGAGGCCCTAAGCAACTTAGCGAGACCCTGCCAAAATAAAAAGTACTGGAGGTGTGGCTCAGTGGTTAAGCACCCCTGGGTTCAATCCCCATACCTCCCCCCAAAAAAGTGAATATTGCAAATTAAGAATTCAAAAAATTTTCCCAGGGCTTATAGGCATAGTCTTGATTTTGCGTGTGTGTGTGTGTGTGTGTAAATGAAATAAATGGAAAATGGTGACTTTCTAAATATCTGACATATTCAGTACTTCTTTAAAGAAATGGTCTATAACTTACATGTAAGAACATATGGTTCTTACTTATATTAATTTTCATAGTTAATGACCACATTAAAGCTGGTGTTCAATTAGACCACACTTAGCTGAGTTAATAGTGTACATACTGTTTCCAACTTTGACCGAAATTGTTGAATTTGAGATGTGTGTCAACAGGGTTAACAGAGACAAATCTTCAAATATTATTTAAATATTGAATACATAGCATATTTTCAATCTCTTATCTACATATGTATATATGTTATAAAATTATATAAAATTAACACTTTAAGCTTGTTTATGTATTATTTGCTATAACTGCATCACATATTATATGAGAATTTAAAATAAACATATAAAATTGAGATGAACAGTACAGTACAAGTTTCATGTTTTGTCAGACATAATATAATCAATTCCAGATGTAAAATAGCCTGTATACTTCTGCTTTTTTAAAATATTTTATTTATTTAGTTGTAGTTGGAGACAGTATCTTTATTTTATTTTTATGTGGTGCTGAGGATTGAACCCAGGGCCTCGCACATGCTAGGCAAGCCTCTACCACTGAGCCACAACCCCGGGCCTACTTCCGCTTTCTTAAACTTCCTAAGAAAGCTGTTTAACAAGGTACAGTGAATCAAATCACTGATAATTTAGTTGTAAAGTATACTTTAGCTGATCCCCACAGCAATGGAAGTCTGCAGTTTTCTTACTTGGACAGGATTGAGGAAAGAGGCAGGGAGAAGGTCAAAGAAAGGAAGTGCCTGGATCACCCATGGCTTTGTAAAGATGGTGGCCTGAGACATCACCTATTAGTGGGATGACGTCAGCCTCCATAACAGTGAAGTGGAGGATGGTATCTGATCACCAAATTCTTTACAAGAAATAAATCAGTACATACCTATACCTCTGCAAAGGATGCCTGACATTGAACCGGAGTTCAAGAAATGACCTTGCTCTAGCGTGTTGGCAGCAGAAGAGCTCAGGTAAGCCACTTACAAGGAAAGGTTCACTGTGGCTGCTGGCTTTGGAGGTTCCGTCCATGGCTTATGGATGTGTTGCTTTAGGGCCTGTAACAAGGCAGGACATCATGGAGCAGCAGATAGCTCAAAGCTGCTCACCTCATGGGGGCTGGGAAGCAAATGAGAAAGAGAAGAGGATCTGGGTCCCAGGGTCCCTTCAAGACAAGTCCTAAAGACCTGGCTTCCTCCCATCAGGCCCCACCCCATTCAGGGCATGCCTCCACTTCCTCCCATAGGGCCCCACCTCCTGAAGGGCATGCCTCCCAAAGTCTCCCTTCTTTCCAACAGGCCCCACCACCTAAAGGACACACCCAGTGACCTCACTTCCTCCCATAGGGCCCCACCTCCTGAAGGGCATGCCTCCCAAAGGCTCCCTTCTTTCCAACAGGCCCCACCACCTAAAGGACACACCCAGTGACCTCACTTCCTCCCATAGGGCCCCTCATCCTGAAGGGCTTGCCTCCCAGTGACCTCACCTTTTCCCACCAGGCCCCATCCCCTGAAAGTCCCACACCTTCTGCGAGCACCAGGCTGGGGACCAGGCCTTCCATATGTGGGCCTTTGAGGACTGTAAAGGCTTCTCTATATAATGCCCTCATCATTCTGTATCTGCTGTTGAGAAACCTTGGCCACTCCAACTCCAACTTCAAGCAAAGCTGTCACAAGCCAAATCTGGGTTTTAATTTCCAGACCGTTGACATAGTCACGTAGATAGAAGCATCTCCTTTGGGAATGTTTTTGAAAATTTTTAAACACTATGCCTAATACGTATTTAATTTATGATTTATTAAATAAACATTAATAACTTCAACATATTTAACACATTTTAACAATGATACTTATTCTTTTAACTCAACATTTAAAAATGTTCTGGTAATTTATTTTTTATGGTATTCAAACATACATTTCACTCTTTAAAATTTAATCTAGAGCTGAAGATGTAGCTCAGTGGTACAGCATGTGCCTAGCAAATTTTGAGGCCCAGGACTTAAAATTAACAAGTTAATCAAAAACTTAATCTTATCAATAATCAAGCTTGATTTTTATATAACTTCAGCTGTCTACCTCTTCATTAACAAAATATAGTAGTAGCATCCAAATGTTTAAAATAAGGGGAAAACCTTATATTATTCATATTTCAAATGATAAAACTCATTTAAAATGAAATTCTGCTATAAGTACCCAAAACTGGTTTTTAATAATTTAATTCCCTTGAAAATTATGAATTCAAGCAAGTATGTACACATGAACACAAACACATCTTTCCTGTTTAGACACATTGTAAGAAAAGGCAGGAATGCTCTGAGAAAATCGAAAATGTGTAATTCACTCATTATGGCTGAAATAAGCTGGTACTTTGAAGGAAAAAAGGTCAAATGATATACTGAGATGAAAACAAGTTCAAATTTTTGAAAAATAACAGAGCAGAACATTTTTTATTCATATAATAATTCTTGGGGATAGTTTAGGTTTTCTGTTTGCCCTGTAGAAAGTCCAATATTATGATATTTCATAATGTAGGCTATTTAATAATACAGGATACTTCTTAATACAGAACCAATAAAATTTGTAGAGAAATTACTGCAAAAACAGATCCTGAAATGCACTGAGAAAAGAAGATTAATGCTTAGATGGTTTCCATTTTGTTCACTTGTAATGAGCTTTGTGCCACACAAGGGTGATACTTTGAGTGACTGCAGTGTGTTGGACAGGTGGACCGACGCACACTGGACACACCACAGACATGGTGCACTCGTGAGAAAGGTCCCCTGTGTTCGGACCAGCAGAGTAGGAGGGCAGGTTGGCACCTCTGGAAAGGCTGGTTCCTCGTGTCCTCCTTGGTCTTGCTGTCGGTAGAGGCTCCATGAGCATGGATTTGCTTCCCTGTCAAATTGGACGTGTTCCTGCAGCAGGCCAGAATGTGCTGTCCTTCCTTGCTGACCTCCTGGGGTGTCTGAATGATTAAACACCTCACCTTCCTCTAGCAGAAAAGCACCTCCTGGGAAATGAATGGTACGTGCACCTTATATCTCTGTTGTTTATTATTGTGATGGTTTGGGATGGAATCTTCTAGACCAAGTTGCCTGACCTTAGCTTCTCTCTCCACAACCTCCTGTGGTAGACTGTTACACATGACTCCCATGCTCCTGGTACATGAGTGAGCGAGACCAGAAAGAACCTCCCTCCCTGCCGCAGTCCGGCTGCAGCAAAATAACTGGGGGGTGACGAACAACTTGTGTACGTTGATACAGCAGGAGTGGGAGCCCTTTATTGTAGGACAGGAGTGGTATTTATACATCCCACACAGCTTATCTTAATTAGCATAAACTAGATACAGCAGTCAACCAATAAGGAATCTCCACACTTAATGGCTCGCTGGCGTTACTTCACAAACCACTCCCTCTGGCATTTTGCCAGGCGCCATCCAGACTTGTTTACAGACTCTAACATTCACCTGGCAAAATGCCAGGCGCCACCCTGACTTGTTTACAGACTCTAACACCTCCCCACCTAGAGAACCATGGAAAGCACTTCATCGTGATTACCTGAAACTCCCACATTGGGGTGAGTTGTTACAAAGTAAGAGACACATAGAGCACATAGTACATAGGAAGAGGTTTCTACCTTAACAAAATCCTGAACTATATGCTGCTGGCTTTGGGAACAGCCATCAAGTATAAGCTGGAAAACATCAGGAAGCAATTTGTATGACTTTCCTACAGTAAAGTGAAAGATAGAAATAGCACATAATGAAGTTGTGGGCTTAGCCAAAGCTTTTCCAAAGGCTGGAGTAGCTGTCGATTTCACATAGCTGTGCAGGATGAAGAATGGGAGTCAGGACGGAACTTTGGAAGCAATGTTTAACTCCTCCAAAAATGTAGAAAAAATAAAGATAGTTCAGGCCTCAGTGGGTTGAGGAGAATTGACAGTCCCAATCTCTCCGGCCAACAGATTCTGAAATAGGAATGCACAGGGAAGTTAGATGAGGGCTGTGGTCTGTAGGAGCCCTGATTGGGACTTGGGGAGGTTGAAGGCGGTCCTAGAGACCTGCCATCCCAGTAGACAAATGTATTCTGGAATGCTAGGGGTGTGTCCACAACATCCCATGCAGAGAAGGAAACCTGGCTCACAGCGAGTCGAGTCCTTCAAGTGGCATCTGGAGCACAGAGTAAGCCCTGCTTAGAGTCATTAGGTACCCCTGCACATCTGCATGGAGTAAAAGGGTCCTAGGCAGTACAAATGAGCACATGTTGGAGGATGTTCCTTGAGCAGTAAGAACATGGGAAAATGGTCAGCTCTTTGAGTCATGCAGATGGGTCACTTCCTAAGAAAGAGGGAGGCTCTCTCTGCAGAAGGAGTAAGGAGAGCCTCTGCTATGGAGCAGAATGGGCTCTGCTCAGAGCAAGTTCTGGGGCTTTGATGGAAGCTCTGGAAGTACCAGTCCTGTTGGGTTCCAGAATTTCTGTGGGCCTATGTGCCTCTTCTCCCACCTCCACTGGTTGACTGGGTAGGAACTGTTTTATTTCTCTGCAGGATGTCTTAGATTACCTATTTTTTTTAAGAGAGAACGTTTTTAATATTTATTTTTCAGTTTTCGGTGGACACAACATCTTTATTTTATTTTATTTTTTTATATGGTTCTGAGGATCAAACCCAGCGCCCCGCGCATGCCAGGCAAGCGCGTTACCGCTTGAGCCACATCCCCAGACCGATTACCTATTTTATCTCAGGTGAATCTGCACAGTTGGTGGGTTTTGAGTACTGGTCAACTGGACAACTCACATCTGACTTCTGTGCATAGTTGTCCAAACTGTTTTTCATAACATTTTAAAGATGGTGATGGTTATACTTTCTGCTCTACTTATTATACGGGTTTGGTCTTATTTTCTTATCAGTCTTGATAGAGGGTCATCAATTTTATTGATCTTTTCAGAGAGCCACCTTTTGGCTTTCCTGGTGCTGGGCTGTGGCTTTCTGTGTTCTATGTCATCGAGTTCTGTACTTGGGTTTATTATTTCCTTTCTTCTGCTGCTTTGGGCTTTTTGTTCTTTCTCTGCTTTTTTACAGTAAATGTTTCAGTTATTGACTTGCGGCTTTGTTTTCTAATATGTAAACCTTAATGCTGTCAGTTTCCCTCTGAATAATGCTACGTGGCATCCCACAAAGGTTAGTATATTGTGCTTTTTATTCAGTTCAAAATGTTTACTAATTGCTGCGCCCCTCCCCTGACTCAGGCAATGGCAAGGCCCTACTGAGGTGGATGGCGCAAGGCGTCCATCCTCTGGAGGAGCGCAGTATGTTTCCGGGAATGGGCTGATTTGTTTTTGTTTTCCTTTAATAAGTATAGTTGCGACTTCTCATAGGACCATTAAGTATGAAGGAAAAATCACGACTTTCCCAATTAATGCAACTACTTCTAAAGCATAGATCTGTTTGCTCTAAATGCAATGATTCAGCTGTGGAGTGTAAATTGTTAATGTCTAATGAAAAACTCCCTGTATTCCTGTCAAGGAAGTTTTCGAGAAATTAAATTTTTTAAAATCTAGAGAAGAAAAATTAATGTTAAGAAGACAGATTAGTGCTTAGTACTGGGCAACTTGTTCTTGTTCCTGTGCACAATGGTTTGTGCTCTTACTCCTGTTTGGTTAAAATTAATAACAAGTCAACTACTTGCCGTAACCATGGCACTGGTTCCAGTCATTAAGTCAAGAAAGAATAGTCAAGGTATAGGCCAATAGTTTGGGACATTTCTAACTATTATTAAAAGTTAACTAAGCAGAAACAGCTCAAAACAAAACGTGAACTGAAAGTAAAAATGCTTGCTTATGCATAAGCCAAGATACATTCTTCTATTCTAATTGTAGCTACGTAATATTTTGTTTCTTTGAATAATGATTCCTGTTTTGTAACCACAAAGTACTGTGAGCCTGCCAAAATGAAAAGTATATATGATCAACTTCACAAGTAAAGATTGGGATCAACACCTTCACTTTGGTGTCTGTGTTGTTTCTCCACCCCCTCTTTTGCCGACTCCTCACCATCCGTTCATCTCCTGAGACCCCCTGTTGGAGCTGGTCTCCGACAACTAATTTTCTTGGAGACTCTCTCTTTAGCTGAATCATTCAGTGTATTGTTTAATTTTTAAGTCTGGCTGAATGTCTCAAGGGGGCAAAATTGCGACACATATAGTTGACAGGAGAAATAAAGAATGTCCACCTGCTTCTGCCCCTTTCAATGCTTTATTCATTCAAATTACTCAATACAATTTCACTCTATAGGTTCTTAATCAAGAAAATGACAATCCTTAATGCTAGGCACTGCAATAGACATAATCAATTCACACCAAAAAATTCTAGATTAATTAATTCACAGCAAACAATTCTAGATTAATTCCAAGCACTGCAAAACACTTAATTATGATAGGCTAATGAGAGACATTTATTCTGCCTGCTAAGTTAAAAAGTCTCAAACCTTAGGCTTTAAGTCCAGCAGATGTGCACTCACTCAGACCACAGTGACCAGGTCTGGAACCAAGGCCAACTTTTCCTGGCGTAGAGTGGACTTCCAGTTGAGGAGAGGGTCACAGGGAGAAGTTTCGGCTCTCACCAAGGTCCAGACCAGGCGGTAGAGTCTGAGAGCAGTGACGATCATGCAGAGGCTCAGGAACGATGGCAAGTGATGTGATGTCAGGTCCTCATCCTTGTTTCAGCTGGCTGAATCCCTGTTCATCAGCTCTATTATTTATACTAAATTTGGGGGCTTTCTGACTTTTCAATCCTTATCAGCCTCCACTGGATTTCTCAGTGACATCATTTACCGTGGGGTCAGAAACGTCTGGTTGGCGGTCTCCACCCTGGTCTTCTTGCCTTTCCCTCTTATCAGGCGAGGACAGCCTGCCAGGGGCTTCACTCTGTTATCAGGGAGAGCGGAAGTGACTTGTTTGAGGCTTCACTGGAGGGATCTGTGGGTGTGCCTGGTGAAACTACAGGTTTTGAACTGGAGTTTTTAAAATGGAGTTGCTTAGACTCAGGCCTAAGGCCATCCTCACACTGAGGGTCTTGCAATCTTTCTGTTGTTGATTGCTTGTTTAACTCACTATATGGCCAGGGGAGTACTTTATATGAGTCCACTTTTTTTAAACTTTCACACGGCTTCTTTTGCAATCCAGGTGTGCTCTTGAAGACAGTATCACGAGCACTTGGATAGACCGTGAATTCTGTGGTTGGGC